CAATATAGATTTTGTGAAAGTCAGGAGAGGTCACAGGCTTCCGTGAATTGTTGTTTATTGCCCACGACTGGCCGTGATTTTTATTAAAAATATCTTTGCCTTACTCATGGTCACATGCTTTCGAATTGTGGTTGTGGGGTTTCCCAGATTACTGCCAGATTCCTTTCCCCTTTTTACACAGACTCAGTGTTTGTGAGAGGGGATGTATTGCCTCTTAGAGGCACCTGGGGTGGTCTGAAATTTTCCCAGATTACTGGGTAGGGGTGTGACGGGTTCGGTCACAGAGATCCTCTTGGGACTGTCACCTGATGTGCTGACATTACCTTTGAGCATGTTTTCCCTGCCAGCTTGGGACTCCAGAACCCTGCCTCGTTGAGCCAGACACGCTAGCCTGCTGCAACACAGACCCAGGGTCTGGACCATTCCCCCAGAGCTGCAGACTTTGTCTCTCTGGGTCCTCCATCCCTCCTTCTAAATGGAAAATACATGATTTAAGATGGATTTTGTTATCAGGTGACATGGGCACAAGTCACTGTAAGACCCCTAGTCTCCATTCCCCATGGGCTGGCCCACACGTACACAGGGAGGCTTTCAAGTAACTAAGGCCATTCACAACTTAATGGCCTCCACTTACTATGTTTTTCCATCAGTGATAGAAGTTTATATCTTATTCTCCTAAGTCCAGATATAGAAATAATACATGCAAACAAATAGGATGAACACACTTAGCAGATGATAAGCTTTCTAAAGACACCATGCAAGGGGTATTTAGCGTAAAGTATATTCCAGTTATGTCATATTCATGAGCATATTTCCATAAAGCATATGGAGTGCAACGTCACAGGGGCTCCAGCCGGTTTGGTTTTGTATTGGAACCCCTACGTATTGAACTCGGCCCTGGTTGCTGCCAACTCCACCTGGCAAGAAAAGCAGAAAAATGACAATAGGTTCCAAGGCCACTGAGAGCGTAATGTGCAAACTGGCGGGTTGTATCTGGGAGACGACAGACAAAGCCCCTGGAGCCTGACCCATAGGGATAATGGAGCCAAGGGAAATTCTTCACGGTGCTGATTGCTCATTGGGGATGATCCGTCTGCACAGACAAGGATTCAATCCCAGGGGACAATCTGATCTATTCAGATCATTACACTGCAAGAGCCAATGCCTGCCTAGCCCACAGTGAGTGACCCCTGGAGCTCCCAGGAGAGCCGAGGGAAGGGAACGCGGAGGTGCCAGGAAAGGGGAAAGCACCTTTACAGCAGTGATGAGACCCAGCTAGAGATGACTGTGTCACAGGCTGGTATTGGAACAGAGCAGAGGACCTCTTACCGTCTTGGTGCTGGTGGTGGGGACAGCAGACATGGATAGATCGGATGTCTCAGACTTTGTACTGAACATTCTGAATCTCTTGATCCATCTCCTGTACTCCTCTCTCACCTGGAGAGTTGGAGACACGGTCAGTGCACCATGTAACTAACTCGGAGAAGATCAGACATGGCAACCGCGAGGCTGGTGAAGGTGCTGGGTGGGCGCTGACGGGGCGTGGGCATTACCTGGCGATTGAGGAGACAGTGCACCAGGAAGATGAAGGCTCCCTGCAGGCTGTTGACGATGGTGAATAAATACGCCATGACCGTGGCTGCTGGGCCGACTTGGAGGAGACCAAGGCTCCATGGGCAGCCCAGAATGAAGAGCTGGGCGACGGCTTTAAAGGTCAGTAACCTGGATAAAGGCAGATGGAGAGATCCCGTTACAATAAGCCTATGGAGAGCAATTGGGTCAAGAGGATCTGGACAGAGTGGGGTGGAGCTACTGACCCTGCTTTCCTGTGTGGGACAGGGTTACTGTCAATGCAAACACACTAGGGGAATTCGTTC